GAAGGCCCATCTACCTTCTGGATGTGGTTTGCTAGGCCATAGTTTGCTTACCAGAAAGTTCAACTATTACATTTTAAGTTCTAAGCATAAACATAATGTTTTAAAGTCAGCATCAAATATCATTTCTACACTAACATCATATTCCTTAGTTTTTTTTTTCCTGCATAGTTACAGAAAAGTTCTTTAGTAAAGCTCTTAAGATCAAAAACCAATCCCAGTGCCTAGAAAAACATGTTTTACATAAAGTAAAGGCTCACAAATTTTGACTAATTAAATGAAAGCAGTTGTCTCAATAACATGAATCTTGGCATTGATTATTATATAAATAAATCTTTATGTAAGGCCTATTATATAAATATTGATATTTCAACAATAAAGGTCATATGTTATTCAATCACTCTAACACATTCAAAGAAAACTAGAATGTGAACAAGAAGTCTAGCATCATCGTAACAATTTCATTTTTCTTTGATAATCAAAAATCCTAATTTTGAAATTACACTATAACTTTAATAGCTGCCTAATAGGAAAAATGAATATAGATTATCATATGACAAAAAGCTATGCATTTATGATGAATTAAGTTAAATTATCCCCAACACATGAAAATGTTAAATATGATTTTGAAGAAATAAACCAAATATGTAAGTTCCTTCTAAATGCTAGGCATGGATTTCTTCATATGCATTAGAATCTGTAGTTTTTTAAAATATATATATATATATAATACAAACATCATTTTTTTAAAAAATCAAGACGAGGCATTTACAAAGCCACTTTAAATAAAAATATTCTTTAGCCATTCAGTGTAATCCATGGTGGCAAACATACTGAATGACAACAGGCCTAGTGATAAAGGGCAGTTGGGGATCAGTCTTTGTTTCTATTGCTCTTTCATCCCTTAGAGTTGTGTAGCCTTGAGTTGTTAATTAAGATCTTTGAGCCTCAGTTTCCACAACTGTAACAGTTAATATACTTCCTCAAAAAGAAGTAGGAATTTTTTAAATAACATCACTGTAAAGCAGCTAAATGGATCTTTAAAAAGTCAGAGTAAAGCTGAAAGTTCAGATCTTGAGTTCCCTTAAAATGTTTAATAGCAGCCTCCTTTCATTCTATTTACAGTTTCATCTCCATGCTGCCTGTTGATATCTATGTAATCAAAGGTTCTCAGATATGGTTGCCCATTAGAATCACCTGAGCAGCATTTTAACTCTCCATGCCCTTGTCCCAGGTCAGGTAAAATCAGAATAGGTAGGGTTGCCAGAGCATGGGTATTAATTAGTATTAAAGATTCCCAGGTAATTCTTGTGTTGAAACTCAAGCATTTAACTTCTCAGTAGTCAATAAATGTTGGCTACCAAGAACTTGGTTTGTACAATCAGTGAACTTTAGAACCAATAAAGCATCCAAATGAAAGTTTAAGAAAGCAGCTGCTAAATTATTCATTAATGTTTACTACATCTTCAAATAACACCATAGCTCCAAAGCTGCAAAATTATAAGGTAGTAGGCGTTTTTATCCTGACTATCCGGAAAATTTGTTTCAGAATTAAAACATTTAAATTTCCTTGAAGCAAGGTCAACTACACTGTTGACATTTAAATTTCAGAGTTTTGTTTTTGTTTTTGTTTTTTTTTTAAGCATTATCTGATTATCTGTATGGGCAAGTAAAAAACACAAGCACTAGTAGCTGTAAAGACAAGGTACCCAAGATGACTCTCTGAAATTTAAATGTATCATATTTTGGTTAGAAAAAGATTAAAAGCAATTAATGCAATGAATTCGGTAACTAGTCCTAGGTTCTCCTTCAGGTTTTGCCACTAATTTGCTATGGGACTTCAGCAAAGTCAGCATCTCTGGCCTTCAGATTGTCATTTGTAAAATATGGAGTTGCGCTAAATTTCTTTAAAATGACCTGTTACAATAATGTAAGACTTGGAAAATTACAGAGGGATTCTTTAGAACAGTAATATACAAAGATAAGGTGTAAACTAGGCCTCATAGGTTATTAGCATAATGAGTCATGATTTAAGTAGTTTTATACTAAGGAATTTACTTCCCAAACCTAACAATTTATTATAACATATTGACTGAGATTGCTTCCTACTGCTTCCCAGATACCCATATCTGGGATAATTTTTTTTCACAATTAAAACCTTTTTAGTGTTTTGGATTTTTGAGAGCAAAAAAAAGCAATACTGAATATCCAACAAATATTATGTAATAGGCACTTGGGATACACTAAGGGACAAGATATGCAAGTGAAAGAAGACAGATAAGCAGAGAATTTTTTGTTTATACTTTTCAGATAGTGATAACTTATCTGAGTAGAATAATGTCAGGTAAAATGACATTTTTTAGATAAGATGTTGAAGAATTTTTCCAGATGACCCTCCTTAAATTTGGAGAGGGGAGGGCAAAATACCTTTAAAAAGTATTTTCTTTATATTTGAGAAATTAGATAAAGCAGTTTTGTACATTCTTTTAAAGAACTTACTATTTTAACCTTTAAATTCTCAAAAGTAAAATTTGAATTATCTTAACGATAGTCATGCTTATCACAAGAAAGCACCATTTCTTCATCTCAGAGCCATCTGATCTCACCTATTTACTCAAAAGTATTACTTGATTTCTAAATGCCCGTGTTTTTTGTGTATGTGCATATTCTGTTTTTTTTAAGTACTTTAACCTAATCCATTTTCGAATGCACCAATTTTATTCTATCTTATTATATGGCTCCTGAATAACATTTCAGTAGTCTCGAAAGCTGTCTCATCTTCAATTTACAAAACTCAAGCTCCATTTAGAGGCTCACGCTTTTATAACTAATATCTTTCTACCAATATATTTTACTCATACGTCCTAATTCAAAAGTGTATGGAAGAATATATGATAATTTCTAAACAATGAAAAAACTGGGGAATGAATAGGAATATAAGTCAACAATAATAGAGCTACTTGCAGAGAGAAGATAACTATTTGCACAAGTGAAAGAATTAATTCATACACTACAAAGTTTCCTCTACCTAAGCATTATATTAAATATCTTTTAAATTAGTCATGTTGCTTTGAGACATTTCCATGTTTCCTCTAGACAACTGCCAATGTTCGCATGGACTCTGATGAATAAACATGCTGTGACTTGCTTCTAAGGAAACGCCTGTCATGTTCCAGGGAAAAATGACTTCTCTACTCTTAAATCAGGAAAACTGTACAACTCTCATTCATTAGTAACAAAGTCGATTTTTCCTTAACGTTTCTTTTCTAGAATGTTTCTATTCTCTTCAGGGCACTTCTGCGTTCAGATTTTCAGGAAAGGAATTGAAGTGGGGAAACACAAGGAAAAAGTTATACTACATCAAAGGGGTTTCCTACTTGAAAAGTTCAATTAGCACCCGTGTTAAGCTTTCACTGTTTACCAAGACCAAGGTTATTTCCACGTTCTCTCCATCTCTTGCAGAACTACCTGTTCTCACTACTGTTTACCCAAAAGCTTAGCAAAGTGATATTAGCATATCTGGCAGGAAGACATGCTTCATTTAATATTAACTCACCATGTGACAGCCCCTTCCCCTCCAATCTCTGCTCAAACACGTGAGGTTACAAAGAAAAGTATGGTTGTTTGCAGTCTGACTTCGCGCTAGGCTCTGGCACCAACAATTGGTCACAAGCACACACACCCCCAATCAGAGGCGCGCACCCCGTCGGGTCCCGGAACTGTCATGCGGCTGACAGCTGGCACACTCTCCCACTGCCCTCCATCCGCTCGCAGAAAGCCCCTTCCTTAGTCACCTTGACATTGCTCACGTGCCTGGGCCTCAGCTCTCGACCTACGAAACTTTTTACCCCTTCCTAGAAGCTCACTTACAGGTATCTCCCGCCGCTCCCCCAGAGCCCCAACAAGGAGCCCTTTGTTACAATTTTTGCTCCCGGACTCTTCGCCCAATCCCTGGCATTCAGCCGCTCTTTAGCGACTTAGAGCAGCCCAGCAGGAAAGTAATGAAAAACTACCGGGATCCCCCACCCTGTGCGGTCTCCGAGGAGGCGGTGGAAGCAGCCTCCTCGGCCGCGTGTCGTTTGGCCGGAGAGTCAGGCCGCTGGCAGGGCAGCGAGTCGCCAGCCAGGTAAACGTCGAGGCCTCGCCGGCCTCGCCGGCCTCGCCCTCCCTGAGCGGCGGCACCGCACTCGGGGCTTACCCGGCGGGGCCGGTGGGCGGCGTGGGCGCCGCCGGGGCGTCTTGCGCGTTCGGGGCTCGGCCGTCCATCGCCCTGCTGACCGCTGCGCGGGCTCCCGCTCCCAGGCGGCGCGTCACTGCTGAAGTGGGAGAGGCCAGACGGTCAGGGCGGGACACGCGCCTTCCCGAGGCCAGAGCAGGGCTGGCCGTGCGTCAAGAGACCGCCCGAGCCACCCAAACCCGGGCCGGCCCGCCTCCCAAGTGCGCTTCCACCTGCGGGCCCGGGCTCCCAGCCCGCGGGCGCCGGGAGCTGCGGCGGCAGGAGGCGGTGCTGCAGCCCCCGCCCTGTGGGGTGGACTAGGTAGCCATTAGGCGCCTCTCGGGGAGGCAGAGGAGCTGCCCAGGTTGGAAGGAGGAGGAGCGGGGCAAGGGGCAAGGCACACAGGCACGGCCGCCACGCCCGCAGCGCACCCCCGGGCGTACAAACAGAACGCCCTGGGAAAACTTTTCGCTAAGGAAAGTTGGGAGAGCTCGTTTCTTTTTCTCCACCCAAGGCTCCTACTTTCTTTTCAGAAAGAGACAGTGGCTCGCCTGTTCTTTCCCGCGCCTTCCTTCCCCACTCTGCCCTCCCCCGACCCCGCTCTAGCAGTTCGGCTCTCGAGCCAGGACTTGAAGGGAGGAGAAAGCGGGGCTCAGACCAGCGCGGGCCAGGCCGGGCCGAGGCGGCGCCTCCCCCTGCCCCGCGGGCGGGTGCCCGGAGCTCGCTGGGCTCTGCGGAGCCTCTCCCCAAACCGGCTCACTCACCCTGCCCCATTTCCCTTCCCAGAGCCAGGGAGCTCGCTGCCACCTCCTCTGGCCAGCCACCTAAAAGTGGCGAGGAGGCTTGGCGGCATCCGAGCGAGAGAGGCAGCGAGCCAGAGAGAGAAATGGGGCGGGGATGGACTACTACCGAGTTGGAATTTCCTTCCCCCAGGGCTTCGGGTTTTTGGGGTCCAGCTGGGGAAGCCGAGCGGAAAGGAAACTCCCAGGCGGAGTGTTCCCATTCACACCGCTAGGGCGTCGATTCGGGAAGTCCGGCGCGCCCTAGTGGGACAGGTGAGGAGGAGGGGACAGTGGGTACCTGCCCTGGAAGGACCCGAGGGAGGATCCCGGCGGCCGTGGAAACGCGGAGAGAAACTCGAAGAAAGGGGCCTGCACCTTTCACGACCAGGGTGGTTTTTTGTTTTGTTTTGTTTTTTCGATTTTCAACCTGACCTCTAAGATTGCTATTCTGTTAAAAGCGTACCTGTGACATTGATCTTTCTAATCGGTGGCAAATTTAAACTTGCCCAGTCTTTAGAGGCTTATTTATTTATTTGTTTGTTTATTCCTTTTCGCCTGTAGCAGCGGTGACATGAGGACTGGACAATATTATGTCCGAGGACAATCTATAAATTAAGAAACAAATGATAGATTTTATTCACCTCTTGGAAATTAGAAATAATCACATAGACTATGTGATTATTTCTTCGTGCCTTTTTGTAAGTTTTGGTTCCCACTTACATGCATACTCTTCAGATGATTCTTTACACCTGGCAAACAGGTATATTTGTATATCTTTATATTATCATAAATGCCAATTGTTGTAAGAGACAAGTCAATTTTGATGAGTCTAAAATCTTGCTTTCAGAATAATAACGTGAAATTAAGAAATTAAAACTGCAGTTTAAATTTTTTAAAAATATTTCAACGAACTATTATGGAGAGGTTAGATGAAAGAGCATCCTAAAAGTGACCTCCACTGTGGTATTAGTAGAAAATAACGAATCTGTTAACCACTTCACTCCAATGATAGGATAACATTTGGTAGGTGGTAACAATTAAATTGATATTTGGACCAATGTTTGACCAAATGCTTCTTTAGTTATTTATTCATTATTATAGCAACCAAAAATATGCTGAAAATGAGTATTATACTAATACCTAGCAATATACCATCTGTCTATAATGGGTAGTCATTAGTATTTATTCTTTTCTGTTCATAATATATTCCTTTTAGTGTATTTTTATATATGAAAAAAGTGGCTTATTTAGATTACAATATGGGAACCATATGAAGAAAGTTGTGTTTTAATATTTTACCTAATATTAATCAAATCTATTTAAATATACCTGGCTTTTAGTCTTTAAACAACTTGGGTTAAACAATTTCATGACTCAATTATGCTTCTAAATGACTAGCTGCTTGCAGACAATAATACAAACATTGAGTAACAGTGAAACTACTTAATGTCTGTAATTTCAATCACAGATCCAAGATTAAACTTTAATTAGTTTCAACCTTAATGTATGACACGCGTCTAATATTATTGGCTCCATTAGTCTAATCTGAAACCTAATACATTTTCATAACATTTCATACTACTGAAAGGCACTTTCAGTGCTCACCAATTTTTCCTGTCTTCCTTCTGGTCTTAAGCATAGAGAAAGATTACATTTTCCACTCCACTGAAATTAGGTATAGCAATGTAACTTGTTTGGATAGGTAAATGTGAGCAGATGTGAAATGTTTCATTTTCTGGTGAAATCACTTAAAGGCCAGTACTTGACTCCATGCTCTCTTCCCTCATTGCTGCAATTATGGAATTGTGTATTAAGATGAAGGTAGCATAGGACTGAAGGGTCCTGTAAAGCTCAGCACAGCTGCCCTGGAGAGCCCCAGGACCTACAACAGAATCTACACAAGCAAGAAATAAACTTGTGTTGGGTTAAGACACTGAAATATTGAAGTGGCTTGTTACCCACTATTACTTAGCTTACGTTAGGTACAGTAGTCCCGGCCTTATCCATGGTTTTGCTTTCTGCCTTTACCTATGGTCCACAGCAGTCAGAAGATATTAAATGGAAAATTCTAGAAATAATTCATAAGTTTTTAATTAAGCACCATTATGAGTAATGTGATAAAATCTCACAAGTCCCACTCCTTCCCGCCCCTAACATGAATTACCTCTTTGTCCAGCATATCCATGCTATACATGCTCCTGCCTGTTAATCACATAATTGCCATCTAGGGTTATCAGATTGTCACCATACGGCAGTGCTTGTGTTCAAATAACCCATATTTTGCTTAATAATGGCCCCAAAGCACAAGAGTAATGATGCTGACAATTCAGATATGCCAAAGAGAAGTTGTAAAGTGATTCCTTTAAGTGAAAAGATATGTACGTATAGGAAAAAAAAACATAGTATAGAAAGAATTCAGTTCTATCTGCAGTTTCAGACATTCACTGGGGGTCTTCGAAAGTATCCCCATGGATAAGGGGGCACTACTACATAAACATAACAATTTTAACCTCTGAATTCCTTGACTGCATAGGAACTATTTATGACAATCTTTTATTTGGAAGATTATTAAAACATAGTTTTATATCTGGTAAATATAAGGCTACTTTTCTTTTCATATATTTTAATCTGGATTAAGTATTGCCTCATAGCTCCAGGCATAATTCTTATGCAGGTTATAAATTTTGCAGTCTGTCAATTCTATAGAAAAAGCTGAGCTATTACTATTGCTGACACTATTTCAACACCCAAGAGTTTTCTTCCAGTTCTTTCTGAAAGATCTCACCTTTTTTTTTTTTTTGAAACAATGTTGGAGGAAGTTGCAGAATGTAAGAAGTGGAACATGCTAATGGTAGTTTGAGAATACAGTTCTTCCACTTGGGAGTTCTGTGTTTCAATTGAAATTGGCTATAGACGTCTAGCAACAAAAACACAATAAATTGCCTAGTTATTTCAGCATTAAAATGTCTTTAAATTTTAAAGTAAATTCAATTCAGTGAAGCTAACCATTTTACAATTTTCATAGTTTTATTTGTGGAAAATCATACTCCCACGTTTGAAGAAATATTTGGAAATAATCTTGTAATTTTTAGATTCTTCATCAGTAAGATGGTGATAAATTAGCATGATATTCTATGTTGCAAGTTTCAAATTATGAATAAATATAACAAATAATTGTATTCTATAAAAAAAGTTTAAATGTAACAGATACATATCATACAATGTTAACTCTGAGAAAGACTTTAGAGATTGTCTGCTCAAACCATCCACTACGTTTATTGGAAAAACTGAGAAGTATAAATAGGATTGTCAGATTTAGTAAATAAAAACACAGAATGTCCAGTTAAATTTTAAATTCAGTTAAATAATGAATGATTTTCGGCACAAGTGCTATGCAGTATTTAATTATACTAAATAATTGTTGTTGTCTATCTGAAATTCAAATTTAACTGGGCATCCTATGTTTTATATGAAAACTCTACCCATAAACGTATCATAATTCTTTTCAAAAGACATGCAGCTTACTATATGCCGATACAGGAATATAATCTGAACATTTAAGGAGTTTAAAGATAATGCCTACAAGAAATTAAGTTCTATAGTAGCATGTTTTAGAAAAGCAAAATAGCCATATTTCATAATCATTATTTCATAAAAACTTGAAAACATTCTATCATGTAAAATGGAAATCTTTGAATCTATTGACTGTAGTTACTGAGCACTGAATTACTTCTATCTCTCAGAATTTGAAAAATGCTCATATTTAAAAATCAATTTCTTTTTTTGTTTTGCTAAAACATGGGTAGCTCAACTGGTCATCACTGTTAGCCAGAACTGAATAGCAGCAATTCATCAAGCCATGTTTTCTGAATAGTTTTAGTCAATAATTAGTCATTTTTAAGTGTAGTAAAATCTTAGCTAAGAAAAAAATGAGAATTAGAATCCTTTAGAATCATCTTATAGCTCTATTCTGATCTAAACTTGATGTTTTAGATTGTTGTCACTTATTTTATATTTTTATTACCACAGCTGTCTTTATTCATTTTTGTGTGGAACTTAAACAAATCCAAGACTTTAGCACTGAAGTGTTAGTATAATAACCAGTCTCAGTTGCAGAGGGAGATAGGGCTGTCACTTATGGGGTTTCCTGAAAACTGATGCAGGGGCTCCTGAGTTGGCCTTAACTGTTGAGGTCATCAAAGCTCTTAGGCTTCTCCATTTCTCCTTGAGTAAATTTATCTTTTTTATATATAAATTTCTAATTTAATCATTTTATAGAAGCTTTCAAAATTATTGACATAAAGTTGATAATAATGACCTATTTTTTAGTCTCTAAGAAAGCTAAAATTAACATGGCATTTTTCATTCCAAATACATTTATTTATGTCTTCTCTCTTTTATTCTTGTAAATCTTGTCAGAGGTATGTCAATTTTACAAGACCCTTTTAATAATCCAAATTTTGGCTTCGTTGATATCTACTGCATATTTATTTCCAAATTTTTAAAATGCAAGGCATTGCTCTGTGAAGTGGTCCCTGGGAAAGGTCAAATTGAGATTAGAAGTCAATTTATCAGGCAAGTTATAGAGATGATAGCTGTTTGAGTGGGAAATTGGACCAATGTTTTAGATACCCTTCAAATCTAAGAATCTTCGTTTTTGAGAGCTGGGTTATTTGGCAAGAGTAATAGTTGTAGCTAACTCCAAATTGTAACTTTCTTTTATAAAAGTATTCCTTAGAAATATGAAATTAGAAAATAAAAGATCTTAAAATTCTGTAAAAGGGACTTTATTAAGGAATGCAAACTATAATACATGATGCCTTCCAGCAAGCCATAAAGAAAGAGAAAATCTCTTCCTAATGTTATAGTAGTAATATGTTTGATATTTGTTACTTGTAAGGTGGTAAAGAGCTCTATATATTTTAAATATGTAATTAATTCTTGTGACACATAAGGCAAAGAGAAGGCATAATTATTCTTATTTTAAAAATGAATAAAATGTAGCTCAAATTTTTTATAGGATTACCCCTAAGGACACACAAATGAATGGAAAAGTAGTGCTGAAG